GCGCGCGCGCGGGCGGGGGGTCCCTCCCGGAGCCTCGGAGATCGCGGGGTCCCCTGCGCCCCCTCAGCACCAGCGCCCCCTGCCCAGCCTGGTTTCGCAGTAATCCGGAGCACCATGTAAACCAGCAGCTGCGAAATCCCGCTGCTCCCCATCGCGCGGCCGCCTGCCTCAGTTTCTCCGCGCGAAGCCTCCCTTCCCATGCCGCTTAGACCTTTTTTGCTAGAACCCTCGCTTGGCGGGGCGGGCTCGGAGTGAGTCCGAGCTGGGGGCTCCGGGTAGCGCTGCGGTGGGGACGGGGAGGCTCGAGGCGGGCTCTCGGGGAGCCCAGGGGTGGAACTTAGCTTTTCCCTCCGCGCTGGCGAGGGATGCTTGCGGAAGCTGGCACAGGGCGGGGGTACTGAGAGCGGCCCTGGACACCTCTGCTGGGCTTGGGTCCCTTGGGGGTGGGGACCTCCTCTGCAGCCTAGCCGGGCCAGCACATCAAACACTAAGATTTACAGCTGGATTACAATGGGGGGCGTGGAGGGGGTCTTCCCGGGTCAACGCCTCTGCCCCGTATTACAATTCCTTTCTCCCCTCTCCTCCCCTCCCTCCCTTCCTTCCTTCTGACCCCCTTCCTTCCCTCCCTTCCTCTCTCTTTTCTTTAGACAGGGTTTTGATATATATTCCAGACTGGTCTTGAACTCACTATGTAGCTCAGGCCTTGGACTCACAGTGATCCTCCTGCCTCAGCCTCCTGAGTGCTGGGATTCCAGGCGTGCACCACCATCGTGGCTTCCAGTTTCTTACAAACGCTTTTCCCTACCTTCACATTTCAACCCCTCCCCCGCTTTGGTACTGGGGATGGAACCCAGGGCCTTTTTATTTTTATTTTGACACCGTCCTGCTAAGTGGCCTGGAACTTGCCGCTCTCCTGCCTCAGCCTCCAAAGTACCTGGGAGAGCAGGTGTGCACACCGTACCCAACCCTCTGCACATCTCTTACTGGCTCTGTGACCCTGCTCAGTTGTCTGCATTTTCTCCCCGGCAAGGTGGTCAGGAGGCCGGGGAGCGAAGCTGTATCTGTGCAGATTACACTTCTTATCAGGAACTGCAGGACTTCCGGTGCCGCTTGAAAATGAAGGTCAGACCTCTTGGACCGCTTCCTGCTGGCAGCTCCCTGCTCTGCCTCCCAGGAAGCCATCTGCTCCTCCTCCTGTACCCTGGCTCGCCCCTGGGACCTGGGGCTATCTTTTGTGTGTTTTGGCACAGGGTCTCCCACGTAGTTCAGGCTGGCCTTGAACTCCCAGTGATCTGCTAGCTCCCTTGGGGCTGGCATTACAGGCCTGCGCCACCCCACTGCTGGGGCCTGGGGACTATTTTGGGGGAAGCAATGCTCGCCATGTGGCTCTGCCTCTAATTTTAAGGGTCAAACTCAGGGGTGCTATACTGCAGAGCTCTATCCCTAGCCCTTTTTTCTTTGAGACAGGGTCTTGTTGAATTGCCCAAGGTAGCTACAAACTCACCACCCTCCTGCCCCAGCCTTCCAAGTAGCTGGGATGTCAGGTGTGTACCAGTGTGCTTGTCAGGCAGTTCCTTTATTTATTTATTTATTTATTTATTTTGTTTTGTTTTTTTTCCTCCGGTACCGGGAGCCGAACTCACGACCTTGCGCTTGCCAGGCAGGCGCTTTTGCCGCTGAGCTAAATCCCCAGCCCCCAGAGCCCCAGGCAGTTCCTTTAAAAATGGCTTGCCTGTCAAAAGTATCTCAGGTGCTTCTTGCCTTGAACAAAGGATTGGATGAGACGGGCAAAAAATGGTGCCAATAATTTATTTGAAAAGTGAGGGGCGGAGGGGTGAGAGGAAAAGTAGCCTTGTAGAGCGAACTTGGGCTGGGCAAAAAGAGGAAAGGATAAAGAGCAAAAAATGAAAGCGCAGCCTGCATCTGGGAGTCACTGGGGAGCTTCAGGGAGAAGTCAAGACAGCGGGTTCCTCGGGGGCCGCTCCTCTCCTTTACCCCATCCACATCCTGTGGGAGCCCATGAGGAGTTCCACATGCGGGGTCCTGAGAATGACTTGGCGCTGTCCTGGGATCTTGTAACTGACAGGTCCTGTTTTTTTCCCCATCCAGCTTGGCCACCCTTATCTACCTCCTACATCATTTGGTTGCTGGGGGAAAACTTAAAAAACATTTCATTTTGGTTGGCCTTGAACTCGCTAATGTAACCCAGGCTGGCTGCGAACTTGAAGAGATCCTCCTGCCTCAGCCTCCCAGAGCGTTGGGATTATGAAATGCTGCAGCTTACCCAGCTTGTAGGTGTGTATTTTATAGCGATCCATTTTGTATAATATGTCTCCATAGGAACCCGGTTGGGTGGGGTACTGTTCTGTTGAGGCTTCAGTTCCATCCCCACCCAGCCTAGGCTTTCCCTGGCTACAGCCTAACAATGCCCTGTGCATCCTACCTTTTCGCATGAGCCGGTGAAATCTACAGGCTCCCCAGCAGTGATGTCTACCTGAGTCAAGGTGTTTGCCTTTATTAAGCAAGGTGTGCTAACCAAGAGAGTAACTGACCCTGTGAGTTTGGCTTACCAAACCCCTTCCGGGGTCTTCTTACCCCAGAAGACTAAAGAGTACCTTCATTATTCTGAGTTGCAGTTTCCAGAAATCAGCTGTGCTAGCAATCCTGTCCCACCCAATAGTGTGTATCTGTAGTCCCAGCTGCTTGGAGGGGTGGGGCAAAAGAATCTCTTGATAAGGCTGAGTGTGGTGGCACACGCCTGTAATCCCAGCACTCGGGAGGCTGAGGCAGGAGGATCACTGAGTTCGAGACCAGCCTGGGTTACAAAATGAGTTCAAGGCCAACCAGAACTGCATAGTGAAGCCCCAACTCAAAAAGACCAAAAACAAACAAACAAACAAAAAAACCTCTTGCGCTCGGGGTTTAAGACCAGCTGGGCAACATAGTGAGACCTTGTCTCGTAAAACAAAAAACAAGCAGCAAAATTACTAAGTTCTAAAAATAAGAAGCTAGAAGTTGGATGGAACAGTTTATTCTGATTTCAGATATTCATTAAAAATTGAGTCCAAGCTGGGGGTGCTGGTGCGTGCCTGTCATCCCAGCTCTCCGGAAGCTGGGGCAGGAGAAGGACCGCCCTGAGTTCCAGGCCAGCCTAAACTGCATAGCAAGGCCAGACCCCTTACTTAAAACAACAGACATGTATTGTCCCCCGGTTCTGGGGTCAGAAGGCCACCTTCAGATTATCGGCAGAGCCTCACTCTGAAACCTGCCAGAATCCTCCTCCCACTTCCT